ATGCCCCTGACATTCAATTTTGGTGAAGAGAACAGGCCTGAACTCTTCGAGGGGAAGCCGAAAACTCCAGTGACACTCCTGAGTGGATTTCTGGGTTGCGGCAAAACTACCCTGTTGAAGCACCTCTTGGAGAACCAAGCGGGGGTACGAATTGCTGTTGTTGTCAACGATGTCGCTGAAGTGAATATAGATTCTCAGCTTGTGAGGCGGTTTGAGACGGGTCTCGTGCAGGTTGCAGAGCTCCAGAACGGATGCGTCTGCTGCTCATCTGCAGACGACCTTTTTTCCACAGTCCAAAGCGTTGTCATGCAATCCAAGGATCGTCCGTTCGAGCACATTATCATCGAATTGAGTGGAGTTGGTGAGCCAGATGCAGTGAAAAGAAATTGGAACATCGGTCTTGAATGCGCCATGCCTGTGGCGCTCAGGACGGAGGTTACGAGGGTTGTCACAGTGGTCGACGCCAGCACGTTCGGCAGAGATTGGTTGGACACGCGGCAGGCGCTGGACCGGAATGGCGGGGCCGCCGGGAACGGCCAGGAGCACGACGAGAAAAGCAAAGCTCGCTACGAGAACGTTGGTCATTTGCTGGCCGAGCAGGTGGAGTGGGCGAACGTGGTGGTGTTGAACAAGGTCGACATCGCGACCGAGGAGGAGCTTCACACCACCGAGGAGGTCGTCAGGGCGCTCAACGCGGGTGCACCGATACTCAGAGCCTCTTTCGGCGCAGTCCCGCCGAGGTTGGTACTGCCTGAGGTGCCTCAGGGCCTCAAGCCCATCGAAGGCGGCGAAGGCAAGGGGTACAGCTGGTCGCAGAGTCCCGGGGACGTGACCCTTCGCCTCTTCATCGACTCGTCGACCAGGGGGCGAGATATCGACTTCAGGCCCGCGAAGCGAACCCTGAGACTCGGGGTGAAGGGCCGGCCAGAGGTGTGCGCTGAGGGCAGGCTGGGCGGAGATCTCAAGAATCTCGACGACGCTGTCTTCGAGATTGAGGGTTCCGGGGCAGACCGCTGCGCGGTGGTCACGCTGGAGAAGGTGAAGGCCGTCCACTTCCTCTCCCCTCTCCGTCTCCTCCTCCTCCCTTTGATCCCCCCTGCTCCTTTTTGGACGCCCGAAATGGGTACGGAAAGAATGGGTACAATGCCCAACAACAAATGTTGTCCCAAACTAACAGCGGCCGCTGTTGGGCAGGCGGCCTTCTGTCTCGAATAGACACAGGCCGCGGCGGCGTGGACAGCGAATCCTGTTCAGAATGAAGAGGAACTGCTGTTGGGCATTGTACCCATTTTTTCCGTACCCATTTCGGGCGTCCAGATCCTTATCCTGGCTGGTTCCCTTCGTTCATCAGGCCTTCCGCGAGCAAGAAAAGCAAACAATTCAAACACAAGAAAAGCAAGAAAAGCAAACAATACAAATATATGGCAGGGAATATTTCGCATACATGGTGTATATGTCATAAGTATCATAAAATATGTGATTATTTCCTAATTGTTGTGGGTTATTTAGGTCATATTTATGAACTGATCTTGGTATCTAGTAGCGTTGTGAATTGATTGTTTTGATGCTGTTAATTCGGGCAGTCGTAGCAGTCGTAGAAATAATCATATAGCGTGTAATATATTCACACATATAGGTGTGCATTGTATACATGTATGAATACACACAGACATGCATACATACATGCATGCATGCATGCATGCATGCATGAATGCATACATCCTTACACACATACATACATAACGAGGCCCCCTGGCCGCGCCCAAGGACCACGGCGGCGCATGGGAGGACCAGGGCCCCCAGCGCCTTTCTGACTGCCCCAAAACGAACCTAGACGGCTTCGAGACGGCCCCAGAACGCCCCCAAGTAAGTCCAAGAGACCCCCGAGACGCCCAAACATCGGTCCAAGACGCCCAAGATGATCCCAAGACAGCCCAAGCGGCTTCCAAGACGCCCCAGGAGGCTTCCAAGAGGCTTCCCAAGAGGGCCCCAAGAGGCAAAATACATAGATTTTTCCGTGGGGTTGGGAGTTCCTCTGGGTTCTCACCATTTCGGCTGCCCGACGCTCCAAGACGGCCCAAGAGGCCCCCACCATCGCCCCAAGACGGCTCAATGTGCCCCCGAGACGGCCCCAAGATGGCCCCAGAGAGCCCCAAGACAGCCCAAGAGGCCTCCAAGACGGCCCAGAAGGGCTCCAGGACGGCCCCAAGAAGGAGCCCAGAGGGGGTACCCGAACGGACATTTCAAGCTCTCCGCCCCAAGAGGTCCCCAGGAGGACACAAGATGCCCGAAGCGGCTCCCAAGAGGCCCTCACTAAGCCCCACAAAGCTCCCAAGAGCCCCTTCCCCAGACGCTCTGAGGCACTCCTGGCGATCCCGAAGCTTCCAGAGAGGGGAAGCGAATACTGGCCTTCCTGACGCGCTCTGGGGCTGTCTTCGAGCTCAAGGTGCCCCCATCAAGGCCCAACAGATCCCAGAAACGCCCGAGGATCGCTTCCCTGGGGGTCCCATAAGACCCTCCAAAAGTAATTGACCAGGGGACGCACCCAACCCGTTGTACACATGAGGCGACTATACCGAGGACCGCTCATTTCAAACTTACGCTCTGAAGGATTCGCAATATCCTTGAACGACTTGCCAAAGAACGTGGGGCCGCAGACAAACGTTCCCCATGACTCGTGCGACTCATATCTTCGGCAAGAACGCGACCACGATCTCAAAGGAGCGATGACGAGGGGGCCACGAACGTAGCGACACTTTGGCAGTTCGTAGCCCCCAAGGACGGCGACGTCTCATTCTGATTTGCGTATGACACCACTCCGCTGGGCCTCCCAGGAGCCCCCGGACGTGACAACAGTTTCGCTGTTCGCAGCCCCCAGTGACGGCGACGCCTTTTTCTGATCTTCGGATCATGTCACTGCGCTGGACCCGCCAGCAGCCCACGAAAGTGGCGACAGTTTTGCGCATCGCAGCCCCCAGGGCCGGCGAGGTCTCATTCTGGTTCGCGTATCACGCCACCCCGCTGGATCCGCCAGCAACCACTGAAAGTGGCGACCGTCTCGCTGCTCACAGCCCCCACGGACAGCGAGGTCTCATTATGATATGTCGCAGGAGCCAATGGAATCGGGAACAGTTTCGCAGCTCGCAGCTCGCAGCCCCCAATGGCGGCAAGGCCTCATTCTGATTCGCGTCAGACGTGACGCCGCTGGGCCCCCAGGAGCCCACGAAGGTGACGACAGTTCCGCTGTTCGCAGCCCCCAGGGACGGCGAGGTCTCATTCTGATCCGCGGAGATCGTCACGCCGCTGGGCCCGCCAGAAGCCCACGAAAGCACCTGCAGTATCGTGGCTCGCAAGCCTCAGGGGCGGCGAGGTCTCATTCTGATCCGCGTAGGACGTCACGCCGCTGGGCCACCCAGAAGCCAAAGAGAACGGCGACAGTTTCGCATTTCGCAGCCCCCCGGGGACGTCAAGGTCTCATTATGATATGCGGGTGACGTCACTCCGCTGGACCTCCCAGGAGCTCCCAAACGTGACGTCAGCTTCGCAGTTCACAGCCCGCAGGGACGGCGAGGTCTCGTTCTGATCTGCGTGTGGCACCACTCCGCCGGACCTCCCAGGAGCCCCTGAAAGCGGCGACAGTTTCGCAGCTGCAGGCCCCAGTCCCAGCGAGGCATCAGTGTAATCCGCGTCGGACGTCACGCCGCTGGGCCACTCAGAAGCTCACGAGAATGGCGACAGATTCGCATTTCGCAGTCCCCAGGGACAGCGAGGACTCATTCTGATCTGCGTATGACGTCACTCCGCTGGACCTCCTAGAGGCACACGAACGTGGCGACAGTTTCGCCGTTCGCGGCCCCTTCAGGGACGGCGAGACCTCATTCTGATCTGGGCGTGGCATCATTCCGCTGGGTTTCCAGGAGCCCACGAAAGTGGCGACAGCTGGCGAGGCCTCATGACGATATGCGAAAGGCACCACTCCGCTGGACCCACCGGGGGCCCACGAAAATGGCGACGGTTTCGCAGTTCGCGGCCCCCAGGGACGGCGAGGCCTCATTCTGATCTGCGTGTGGCACCATTTTGCTGGGCCTCCGAGGAGCCACCGAAACCAGCGACAGTTTTGCAGTTCGCAGCCACCGGGGGCGGGGACGTTTCTATCTGGCCTGCATATGACACCACTCCGCTGAGCCTCCCAAGAGCCCCCGGACGTGGCAACAGTTTCGCTGTTCGCAGCCTTCAGGGACGGCGACGCCTCATTCTGATCTGCGGATCATTTCACTGCGCTGGACCCGCCAGCAGCCCACGAAGGTGGCGACAGTTTTGCACTTCGCAGCCCCCCAGGGCCGGCGAGGCCTCATTATTCTGGTTCGCGTATCACGCCACCCCGCTGGACTCCCCAGGGCCCACGAGCGTGGCGACAGTTTCGCAGTTCACGGCCCTCAGGGACGGCCAGGCTTCATTCGAATTCGCGTATGAACGTATGAAGTCACTCCGTTGGGTTTCCCCGGAGTCCACGAAAGTAGCGACATTTTCGCAGTTCGCGGCCCCCAGGGACGGCGAGGCCTCATTCTTTTTGTCTGCGTATGAGACCACTTAGTTGGGCCTCCCAGGAGCCCACGAACGTGGCGACAGTTTCGCTGGGCCCTCTTGGCCTGTCGTGGCCCGTTTGGGAGCGGGCCGGGGCAGTCTCGGGAGCCCTGGGACCCCCCCAAAACCCCTCGGGGGGCCCCCATGGGGCCCGAAGCGGCCCAAGAGGCTTCTAAGATGTCCCAGGACGGCCTAAGAGTCCCTCACGAGGACCCCCAGACGGCCCAATAGGGCCCCAAGCTAGAGAATTTTGCATAGAGGCTGCAACTAGCCTCCTGGGCCCGCGGGCTCGCGAGGGCCAGGGCTGCGCCGCGTACCCAGAGGGTCCCGCAAGGGTCCCGCAGGAGGGCCCGATAATTAAATTCCCTGATACATTTAAAAAACAATAAATAGGGAGGGTCCCGCAAGGGTCCCGCAGCATATATCTCAAGTAATTATTTGCAATAAATGCAGCACAGGGTCCCGCAAGGGTCCCGCAGGAGGGCCCGATAATTAAATTCCATGATACTCTTTGAAAAAAACAATAAATAGGGAGGGTCCCGCAAGGGTCCCGCAAGGGTGTATATATATATATATATATATATATATATATATATATATGTGTGCAGATATATTTGTATATATTCGGATATATTTGGATATATTTGGATATTCACGATGGTTTCGGGAAGACCCCCGCCCGCTGGAAATAGCCGTCGCGGGGTCCCAGGGGCCCTCATCGAGCCCCCACGGGCCCATTTTGGCCCTCGCAGGCCTCCTCGGCGGGGGCCCCCATGGGCATCCTCTCTTCTTGCTCCTTGGAGGGCGTTTGGCTTTAAATTGGGCCCGCAAGAGGCCCCGAAGACGCCCAATATGGCCTCAAGACGGCCGACGACGCCGCCAAACCGCCCCAAGAGGGCCTCAAGAGGCTCCCCAAAAGGGCCCCAGAAGCCAAAAATCATAAATGTTCCGTTGGTTTTTGAAGGATTTGTGCATTCCCGCATGTTCCGCTTCCCCACGGAGATCGCTCCAAGACGGCCGAAAAGGCTCCCAAAAGGGCCCCGAGACGGCCCAGGAGGCTCCCCAGACAACCCAAGAGGGCCCCAAGAGCGCCCCAAGAAGGCCCCAAGAGCGACTCAAGAGGGCCCCAAGAACGCGACATTTCAAGGTCTCTGGCGCGCGCGCGCCTTAGAGGCCCCCAGGAAGGCCCTGGAGGCCATCAAGAGGCTCCCAAGAAGCCCCGTGAGGCTCCCAAGAGGCCCCCGGAAGCCCCAACAGGCCCCGAAGGAGCCCCAAGGGAAGGCCCCAGCGGGCCTCCAAGACCCCCCAGTAAATCAGGTTCCCAGAAAGCTTTCTGGGAACATGATTCCTTCGGCTTCCGCCCACCGCCCCAACCATGTTCCCAAACGGCCTGCCAGGAAGGCCTCCAGGGGCCCCCAGGTAAGCCCCCAGCCAACATATCATGTCCCCAGGAAGCTTTCCCGGAATATGGTCGCCCCATCCATGTTCCTCAAATACCTGCCAGGAATGCCCCAGTGGGTCCCCAGATACGCCCCCTGAGGCCCCCAAGACAGCCCAACAAATCATGTTCCCGGAAAGCTTCCCGGGAACATGATTTATCGAGTTGTCGCCCTCCGCCCAAATTATGTTCCCTCGCTTGCCAGGAAAACCCTCCGAGAGTCCCAAGCAGCGCTAGCTGCCGCCACGCTCGGAAAATGCGTGAGGCCCCGAAGCCCCCGGAGGCCCCCAAAGACACCCCAACAAATCATGTTTCCAGGAAGCCTCCCGGAAACATCAGTCCTCAGGCTTCCGCCCCCGACCCCAACCATGAGTCCCAAAATGCCTGCCGGGCAGCCCCCCAATGGGCCCTCATATACGCGCCCAGAGGCCCCCCAAGACAGCCCGACAAATCATGTTCCCAGAAAGCTTGCCGGGAACATGATTCCTCAGGCTTCCGCTCCCCGCCCACACCATCTGTCCCCAAAATGCCTGCCAAGCAGGAACCGAATGGGCCCTCAGGTCTGTTCCTAGAGGCCCCACAATATGGCCTAACAAATCATGCTCCCAGCAAGCTTTCCCAAAACATGATTGCGCTAGCCGCCGCCCCCCGCCCAAATCATGATTCCTAAACGCCTACCAGGAACCACCCTCAGAGAGTCCCACGCACCGCTACCTGCCGCCACGCTCGGAAACGCCTCTGCGGCGGCCCATGCGATGCTGATGCGGCTGCTGCTACTGCTGATGATGATGACGACGACGATGATGATGATGATGATGATGATGGTGATGATGATGATGATGATGATGATGGTGAATCTGATGGTGAAGATGATGATGGTGATGATGATGGCGATGGTGTTGGTGATGGTGATGGTGATGGTGATGGTGTTGATGATGCTGACGACGATGGCGACGACCACGATGATGATGATGAGGATGATGATGATGATGCTGATGATAATGATAGTGCTGATGATGATGATGATGATGATGATGATGATGATGATGATGATGATGATGATGATGGTGCTGCTGATGATGATGATGATGATGATGATGATGATGATGATGGTGGTGGTGGTGGTGGTGGTGGTGGTGATGATGATGATGATGATGATGATGATGATGGTGCTGCTGATGATGACGATAATGCTGATGCTGATGCTCATGCCGATTATGCTGCTGCTGATGATGATGATCATGATGATGCTGATGATGATAACGACGACGACAATGACGATGACGATGACGATGCCGATGACGACGATGAGGATGAGCCCCCCAGGAAGTCCCAGGAGGTCCCCAAGGGTCCCCCAAGGGAAGCCATCAGATGCCCCCCGAGACATCCCAACATCATTTCCCCAGAAAGCTTTTCGGGAACATGATTTCTTATGCTTCCACCCCCCAGACCACCGGGAGGACGAGGACGAAGACGAGGGCGAGGTCGAGGAACAGGAGGGCAAGGAGTAGGAGGATGAGGAGGAGGCGGAGGAGGAGGGGGCGACAGGCGCTGCCCGCCGCGCACGCCGCGGCGCTCCCCGAGGGAGACGGGCGGAGAGACGGAATCGGACGGGAGGGAGGAAGAGGGAGGAGGAGGAGGAGGAGGAGGAGGAGGAGGAGGGGAGGAGGAGGAGGAGGAGGAGGAGGAGGAGGAGGAGGAGGAGGAGGAGCAGGAGCAGGAGCAGGAACGGGAGGGTCAGGAGGAGCACGAGGAGGAGGAGAAGGAGGAGGACGACGAATAGGAGGCGAATGCCCGGACGGGGACAACGGGTTGACATGGGGGGTCGGGGCCACCCCAGAGGCTCCGAGCGCGCCCGATCGGCTCCAGACGCCCTCCAGACCAGCCCAAGACAGCCCAAGAATGCATTTGGGGCGCCCTGGGCAGGTTCCAATCCGCGCGAAGACGGCCCAAGGTTCCAGAAGCCTCCCCGACGCCCCGAGAGGACCCCCTAGGAAGGAGCTCGTGTTCGAGTGTTTTATATGTTGATGCGTTCTTGCTGTTCCTGGCTCCCAGCTGCCCTAGACAGGAAAAGAAGCCGTCAAGATCACCCCATGACGATTCAAGAAGCCCCCAAGAGAGCCCCAACACGGCCCAAAACAACTTCGAGACGGACGGCTCAAGAGACCCCAAGAGAGTACAAGACGGCCCCAGGAGACCCCCAAGAAACGCCCCAAGGACGACGACACCGCCAGACAACCCCCAAAAGGCTCCCAAGAGGCCCCCCAGACCCCCCCAGATGGTTCCCAAGGGCCCTCCGGTGCGTCCCATGGCGCTCTCAGGCGGCCCCGCGACCGCCCTTGACCCCGAGGCACCCCCCAGGAGGCTCCGCGCACCCGTGAGAGAAAGGCGGTGTACGCCTGGGATACATATCCCACCGTATCCTGGGATACTTGCGATGCCTGCGGACACCATTGTCGGAGTCGACTAGAACCTAAGCGCGCGAAGCGCGCGCGTGGTTCTAGTACGTGTGTATATGTATTTATGTGTGCACTCATATATGTAGTTTATGTACATGCGTGGATCTTTGTTGATTTTTACGGTTACTATTACTCACATATGTATAATCTCACTACGACTACGACTACTACTACTACGACGACGACGATTACTACTACTTCTGTCACTATCACTCGTATGTGTAATATTCGTATTCTTACTCTTAATGATCTTGTGTTACATTATCCAAAACAATTAAAGCAAACGGTTACTATTTGTTTTCATATATTCATAATTATCACACACCTATTTCCAGAACATTCTCGAATACATCATAATACTCAAGAAATATATATATATATATATACCATTTATTCGTAATATTACATGACATAGATTTGCTTTTCTTGCTTTTCTTGCTTTTCTTGTTTTGGCTGTTTCGGCGAGCCGAGCCTGATGAACGAGGGAACCCGCCAGTCCTTATCCTTCCTTCACCCTTCCCTCTTGCTCCCACGGGCCCCTCTCCCCCATGGTTCCCCCCCCCACTCCTCAGCCTCCTCATAGTCCCTCTCTCCTCCCATCTCCCTCCTTCCCCCCCCCTCATGCCTCCATCCTGAAGCGTGTTTGCGTGTATGGCCTGCTTGGGCCTGACCCTATTGTCATGGGATGTGGTATCATGTTCCCGGAAGCCTCTGCGGGAACATGATTGGGCCGATGTCTTCAGAAGCTTCTCCAGGAACATGTTCCACGCTTTGGGCTGAACCCAGGTCGGGCCCGCAGGCGGGCGCAAAATGGGTTCAGCTCTTGTGCCTCTGGAGCGGCCCAAGTCGGGCCCGCCGGCGGGCCCAAGAGGAGTTCAGCCCTTGTGGTCCTGCGGATGGACTGGTACACCCCGAAATCAGACTTTCAAGTCTGGGGGCGTCCGTCCCGCGGCGGTGGTCTGGCTTGGCGCAGCCGTCCTCACTTCCATTCCTCCTCCCCACTCCCTCCCCGCCCTCTCCTCCCTGGTCCTCTTGTTGACGTCGACGACGACAGACGAGCCCAGGCTGGCATGTGGCCCGCTGGGCTGTGGGAGGCCCCGCGGGCAGCGGAGCTCACGGCCGATGCCGACGACGCGGCGTGCGGCTTGTGCGACGATGACGTGGCCCCGCTGGGCCGGGGGGTGGGCTCGAGCAGAGCCCAGATGCGCTTCGGGGTCCACTCCTTCGTCTACTCGCGCCGCCGGCCGTTCCGCGGCGAGAGGCTGGCAAGGCTGCTCCTCGCCTGGCCGCTGCCGAAGAAGGAGCTCTTCTCGCTGGAGGAGCTGGCCTCCGAGGCCGTCTGCCAGTGGGGGGGGCCCAGGGTCCAACTCCGGGCCCGCGGGGCGTCCGAGCCCGCTCGGCCGCCGAGGCTGCTCGATCCGGGGCCCCGACGGCGGCCGAAGGGGCTCAAGAGTCAGGAGAGGAAAAGAAACACACAGGCACAATTAAGCCTCGATTTCCTAGAAAATATGGGAAAATATGGGAAGTGGGGGGGAAGACAGAAACCCAGAATCTATGGGAAAATATGGGGCATATTTTTATCTGTGTGTATTTATTTGTGTGTCCTGGGGCCCCTTCACAAGAGGGGGACCCTGTTTGGGGGTGGTGGTGGCCCCGCTCCCCCCCCACGGTCTGCCCCGCACCCTTTTTTTTTGTAGCTGCTGCCGCCGTCACTGCTGCTACTCCTGCTGAAGAAGGAGCCGGCGGAGGAGGAGGAGGAGGAGGAGAGGAGAGGAGGAGGAGGAGGAGGAGGAGGAGGAGGAGGAGGAGGAGGAGGAGGAGGAGGAGGAGGAGGAGGAGGAGGAGGAGGAAAAGGGGGAGGAGGGGGAGGAGGAGGAGGAAGGATGAGGAAGAAGATGAGGAGAGGATACGAGATAGAGAGGAGGCTGAAGGGAGGAGGATTGCCGCGTGGCACCTTCTCATTCTGCACTCTTGCCTTCCTAGAGGTCGCGGACGATGGTGGCTGCGAGCGAAGCGAAGCTGTCCTGCGGCCTGTGCTGAGGTCGAAGGGATTCTGCTGGGTGGATAGGGAACCGCTCAAACGGCACGTGTGGGCGCACGCCGGCAAAACGTTGGTGGTGACCGCTGACGACTGGTGGTGGGCGGCGTTGGACAAGGAGCAGCTGCGATTCAAGGTGACGTATCCTGGGGTAGAGGCCGAGTACAAGAGTACCAGGAGGGATAAATGGGACAGAGACGTAGGCGACAGGCGACAGGAGTTGGTCTTCATCGGGGGGGCGCAGATGAGAGAAGAGAGCATCGTGCCACTGTTGGACGCCTGTCTGCTGTCGGATGCGGAGTATGAGGAGTTCAGGGAGGGAGCGAAACATTTGAAGGTCCCAGAGGATGATTTTCACGTCAGCGGCCTACTCAAGAATCTCGGCGCGACGGAGGCGGAGATTGATGAGATCGGCCACCGGGGCGGCGGGTCCTCCGAAGAGGAACGCCTGGCCTGGAAGGCCGACCAGGAGGACACGGACCTCCTCAGATCATTGGGAGTAGGCAGCGCTCTGGAGGACGAGGAGGCGGAGGAGGTGGAGTACGAAGAGGTAGCGCTGGTCGGGGCCTCGCTGGTGGCCCCAGCAGCGGTCCTGGTAACAGCCTCGAACCCTGCCCAGCCGCCAGCCACCACGAAGGCCTCACCAGAGGTCCTGGTGGCAGCCCCAGCGGCTGCACCGGCCCCAGCGGCGGATCCGCTGGCGGCCCCAGCGGCGGCCCTGGCGACCGCCGATGATGCAGCGGCGGTTTCCTCGACGCCGTTCCCAGCAGCTGCGCTGGCGGCTGCCCAGGCGGCCGCGGCGGCGCGGGGAGGGGTCCCGGCGGCCGCGCTGGAGGTGGCCTCTTTGGCGGCGGCGCCCCTGCTGCTGGCGGCGGCCGATGGTGTTCTTTCCGGCCGCCAGCTGCCAGACCATTTCGAGGTTTGCGATTGAGCTCTGCTCGGTGCTGGCTCGTTGTCAGCAGCGTTGCCCGTGCTGCTGCTGCCTCCTCCTCCTCCTCCTCCTCCTCCTGCTCCTCCTCCCCCTCCTCCTCCTCCCCTCCCCCTCCTCTTCCTCCTCCTCCTCCTCCTCCTCCTCCTCCTCCTCCTCCTCCTCCTCCTCCCCCTCTTCCTCCTCCACCTCGACCGCCCATCAGAGTTCATGGACAGTGGTTCCTCGCTCGGAGCGGCATGACTCATCGGATGTGGTGTGGTGTGAAGTCCCTTCTATCAGCTGAAGAGTGTCGCCCGCTGCCGCTGGCCCCCCTTTGAGTGCTTGCATGGCCACGCTTGATCTGTAGGTTGGTCGATTCTTTGCCGGCTGGCTGGCTGGCAACTCGGTTGATTGGCTTGTATGGTTTGCAAAAGAGATTTGGGCTGCTTACTGGCAGGCTGGTTGCGCGCATGCGTAGTAAAGAAATTACCGATGGTGGCCTCGGGAGCGCGCTTCCATTGTAAGTTACGAGCGTTCGCATTTTCGATGGCTCGTGGCCTCGGGTTCAGCTCCTTTTGCCTCTCCTCCCCTCTCTCTCTCCCCCCCCTTCGAAAGAAGCTGTTCCATATGGTTATGTGGAAGGCTTTCCCAAGCCAGCCAGGGCTGCAGTGAGACGGTGGGTTGGCGAGGGGGAGGGGAGAAACATGTATACCACCCATCTTGGTAGGGGACTTCTTGAACGGAGGTGCCCGCTCCCATCGAAGGAAGCAGCGCTTGTAGGGAACTTGCAACTAGTCACTGCTACGAGGACTGTCCAGGCCCACCTTTGGTTCTGACCTGGTGTAAAGAACTTCCCGGCATCTGCCAGATGCACAGTGTGAACCCGGCCAGGCCTGGTGGCGGTGCAGATTTGCCGGTTCCTCATCTACGAATCTTGCCTCAGTGATGAATTGTCTTGTCCAATTCAGCAGGTGGCACCGGACGTAAGTGGCGAAGCTGAGCGACACGACGAGGGTAAACCCATGAGTTGGAGGCACTCCTCAGACCCAACATCACCGAGCGCGTTCCGCTACTCGCGAAGTGCCTTCTCGCAAACGTCCGAAAAACACATGTCTGCTTTGATGTAATATATCGTAGATCCCCCGCGGCGGATCCAGGCCATTTGCGAGTAGTTACTTTGCGAGTAGTGGAACGCGCTCGTCTACAACGGGCGTTCAGGTGGAGGGGGAGGGGAAGGAGGTGGGGGAGGGGGGAGCGGGAGAAGGAAGAGAAGCAGGACAAGGAACATGAGAAGGACGGAGAGGCGGTCGACGGGGGGGTATCAGAAGCCACGTGAATAGCGCCACAGGGTAGTGGTATGCCAGATCATACGGAATCATACTGCCTCAAGGCAGAAGGTGATACATCATTAGCTCTGCACGTGACCGCATCTCAGTAACACACGAAGTTTGTATTGTTTGCTGTCATCGTGCTGTTGCTTGCACCGCATCAGCCGGAGAGAGGCCCTTCTAGTTACCTCGGGGCTCAATGGACGAGGGTCAATGCAAACGCGGGTTAGTCAGAGCGCCAGATCTTGCAGGATTCTGCAGAGATAGGGGTGCATTGACGCGGGCTTGGGTGCAGGATCCTGCAAGATCCTGCAGAATCCTGCAGAGCCTGAGTGACACGGGTCTGGATTGACCCGGGTCAATAGATGCCCGATTACCGCAACCGTGCCATGATTTTGATGTTGTTTTCGCTGTCACCGCGTTAGCATGCTATTGAAATTCTTGTACATCCTGGTATGATTACGACTCTCTATTCTTTATCAGCCATCTATCACCGCTTGGATGGTGGGCAAACCGATGGGCCAACAAGCACAGATATGGTAGCATTGACATTGGGACGCATGGAGTGTGCGAAACAAACATGGGCTGAGCGTAGATGTGGTGTGGCGTGATCAGAAAAACGTAGCAGTATGGAACTATGGTGTGTGAAACTATGGCGTAACATGTGGCTGAGCGTAAATGTGGTGTGGCGTGTGGCGCGATTCATTCGGGCAGTCGGTATGTATTGAGCCGGCAGAGAGTGCATAACTTTTCGCTGCAGTCAGTTCATTGAGCAATGCCACTCAGACTATCCATTTTATGGATTAGACAGTGGTGTGATGTCGGGGTTGCCTGTCGTTGCCAGCTTTTGTTTTACGGTGTAGCTGAAGAAGACCACGGATGTTTTTTATGTCTTTCATTCCGTGTGTTTCTTTGATGCCGCGGCTCTTTCTGGCGCCGTCTCGCTGTGGGGCAGTTTCTCCCAGACAGTGTCTGCAGCAAGGGGCTAAGTTATGTTTGCTCTCTCTCTACGTGGTCGGAGGAGTTTGCTTCTGCCTGGTCGCCGTGCGTGGCCGCCTCGTGGCCGCCCCATGCGCTCGCTGGGGTTCCCCCGAGTGTCTGGCGCGTCGCCGCCCGTGGCCGCCTTTGGCCGCCTCGTGCGCTGGCTGGCGCCCACCATCCATGCACGCTTCTACTCCGGGTGAGAACCGGAGCGTGAATTACCTACCCCGCTTTCGCTTCCAGGCAAAACCAAGTCATACCACGCGCCTCCTCGCCAAGCGGCCTGAGCAGTACAGGCCGTAGTTTGGCATCGCTTGGTATCTCTTGGAAGCGAGGGTGGTCAAAAGCGAGGTAGGTTTGTTTTCCCCCTAGAGAACTGGACCCTGCTCCCACCCGAGTCCCGGGTCATCGACCACCCCCCCCGAGTAGTTGGGCACGGTGTCGCGCCCTGTGTCTCTAAGGCGCTCCGACCATTTCCTTCCATCGCGCGCAGGCACGGCACGGGCACCGCGCCCCCGCTCGCCCCAGCCAGCCCAGCTCCCCCTCGCCCCCCAGCCGGCGCACCCCCTCCGCCCCGGCCATTTCAAACGTTTGGCACGAGCGCACGGCACCGGCACCGCCGCTCCCGGCTCACAGCCAGCCCAGCTCTCCAGGCTCGCCCCCTCCGCCAGGACTATTGATTTTAGCACGCGCGCACGGCACCAGTACCGCCCCCCACCCACCCCCCGACGGCCAAGCTTCGAGGCTCCATCGGAAGCCCCAAAAGTGTGAAGCAACGATTTACTGAATTTCCTTCGCCTTTGAAGGATTTTGACTTCTTGCGGGGTCCGAGGGTGCTCCGAAAGCACACGGGGCTGTCATGTGGTCCTCTTGGGGTATCTTGAATGCATGATGGGGGTCGCCTTCAACCGTCTTGGGCTCCTCTTGAGCCAATTTGGGGGCCATCTCGGAGCACCTGCTCCTCCATCTCTTGCTCCTTCCCCCTCCTTCATGTGCAAGAACCGTGGCACGCGTGCCACTTGTATTAAGTATACGTGGCCGTTCATCCGAAACAGAAATGGAGAGACGGAACACATCGGAATCCTTTGTGCGGACATTCGCGCGAACGTTTCCCGCGTAAGGTCGCGCGGAAGCGCCCTTTTTCCCACGCGGTGCGCCATGCTTGCGACCCATGAACGCCGCGCCGTGAGGTCAGTGTGTGTGTTACCGTGAAAACACCCGTGTCGTTTCGTGTTTCGTCGCTCAGTGCGTCGATAGATCCAAACTCATATCGATTTCCCCTTCACCCGTCTTAAATTCGCCGGCCCAACGGGCCAGGGCGTGCTAAGATCTCCGGTACCTGGTTAACAGTATTTCTAGTTCGCGCGCTGGGGGTCCCCGGGCGAAAAGTACCCCGGCAAGGTCCCGGCAAGTCCCCGGCAAGTCCCCCGCAAGGTCGGGTCAGAGATGCCTGAGTTCTGTTTCGGAGTCCAAGAGGGCTCCAGATCGGTCCAAGAGGGCCCCGAGAAGCTTTCTAGACGGTCCAAGAGAGGCCCGAGACGGCCAAAGATCGCCCGAAGACGCCCCAGATGGCCCCAAGACAGCCCAAGAGGCCTCCAAGACGCTCCAAGGGCCTTCCAAGAGGCCTCCGAAGAGGGCCCCAAGTTGCCAAAATCGTTGATTTTCATTGTTTTTTTAATGTTTTTTTGCGTTCTGGCCTTTTCGCTTCCGGACGCTCCAAGAGGGCCCAAGAGGCCTTCAAGACTGCTCCAAGACGGCCCACGAGGCTCCCAAGACGGCCCCGGAGCGGCCCAAGAGCGCCCCCCAGACGGCCCAAGTGCTGCCCAAGGCGGACCAAGAGGCCCCAAGACGGGCCCAAGAGGGGCTCAAGAAGGGAACCGAGAACTGAAAAATCGAGCCCTCCGCCCCAGAAGGCGCCCAGGACCCCGAAAGAGGCCCCAAGAGACTCTCCAAGACACCCCCAAGACGCCCCAATAAGCTCCCGTGAGGCCCCAAGAGGACCAACAACGTCAGGCCCCAGGCCCCAAGAGGACCAACAAATACCGCCAAGAGCCCGCCGAAAGCCCCCCAAGAGACCGTCACGAGAGCTCAGGAGGCCCCCTGGAGGCCTCCCGAGTTCTCCAAGAGGCCTAAAAAGAGGCGCCAAGAGGCCCCAAACGGCCCCACCGAGGCTCCAAGAGGCCACGAACGCGCAAGCAAACGCCTGCGATGGCACAATACGGGCCGGCGGAATGAGCGAAGCGATTAAATAACACCATGTGGCGCACACGCGTTGGTCTACCAAGCGCGTTTTGTAACAATCCCTGTAAACGAGTACCATCCCAGCCGCATGAGCGCGCCCCCGCGCGCGCATGTCGAAGTCATTCAGAACCGATTTGTATCCAGCCGGTTTCAAAATGTGAGATCAAACAGCTATCCAAACCTGTTGTTTCTTTCCGTCAGAAAGTTTCCAGATTCTCGCGCGTGCGCTATCGCTGAACTCAGGGGAAACAAAGCTGTTTACCACTATCGTCGAAACCGATGACAAGGATGGATAGCCTTCCCAAGGATACTCTTGCATCTGTGCTTCTTCGGTCCATCCTTGACCGCTTTCGATGGCCCGCCGCGCTCGAACAAGCTTCAACACGGGCGTCCATGGGTATTGCATTCTTTCTTGCGCATCCTTGCTATCAGTTTTGATTGTATTTCGTCTGAGACCATGCGCTCCTGTCC